TCTATATTTAAATCTCATTTCATACTCGAGGTAAAATAAGACAATTTGTATTTAATTTCTGTGCTTTGTATAATTTTTTCAAAAAAGAGCTTAATTAACGATTGTCTCTGATACCATTAATGTGACTTGTACTTTAATTTTTATTCCAAATACATGCTTGTAATGATATTGTTATTTAAGGTTTTCGACTTTAAGAAAAACTTGGAAAAAATTTGCGCACATCATAGTGTAGATACATACATTTGTCAAATATTTCTAGATATATCGATACCTGTTACTTTGTTGATTCTGAAGGATTGAGTGTATCCAGTAGGTGGTACTTAATGCAACCTGCAGAGTAGCATCTGGTGGTATTTTCCTTTTAATGTCTCAGTGTAGTTGACAGATCTCTTTGTGAGAGAGAATTTGCTGAGTTTTCATCAGTAAAGTCTTGAGTGTTCTAGAGAGAAAGAGAGGGGGAGAGAGGGAGGAAGAGAGGGCTTCACAGTCAGATTACCTTCACTGTGGACTCAGTGCTATTCAGACACTGGATTTCCATCTGTCTGCTTTCAGAACTTCTCCTTTTATTTTCTGGGAAATGTGGGGCAAGGATGCCTGAGAGTCATCTTTTAAAAAGCAATTTAAAATCTTGCAGCTTAGTTTACTGAAATTTGATATAGAATTGATTTACAACTTGGAGTTCTTTTGGTTATTTTCCATGCAAATGATCCAAGTTGATCCAAATTGAGATCAAGCCTTCGAAGTCTGCTTCCTAGAGAAGGTTGCAAGCTTGCTTTCTCAGTTATTTACCTGAAAACATATTGTGCCCAGCACTAGATGATATATTACCTTTTAACAAGTAATTACATTAAATAGAGATGTGTGCTGGTTAAGGATGTTAAGTCTCTTTCCCTTTGTTTTTTCCCTGGTTAATAATGTCATTATTTTAAATCTGTGTTTGATTAATTCCTTTGTAGGTGAAACAGTTTCTTCCCATTATAAATTATCAGATTCCAAAATTACATTAAATAATAAAAACAGTTGTATCCATTGCCAGGCTTATTGTATAAAGTGTCCTTCATGGCTTTCTTGAATATAATTTAAATATAAATAATCTTGTTTTGTTTCTTTTGATCTAGCTTTGAGTTTTGGGGAAAATATATCATTAAGTCATCCTTGTATCACTATTATATATAGTTCTTTAACTTTTAAACCAAAAGGGCAATAGATATGGTAGGAGTGAAATTGAAGGGTAAAACTTTTTGCTTATAAATATTGCTGTGTGATCACACGGACACACATAAACACAAGATCTCAAACTGTAGTGTTATTCTCTTAGCTGTGGAACCATTTCGGTAGGTGCTTTTGCTGTGAACACATTTTAGTTAATTCTTCTGAGTTGTGAGTGTGTGTCTTTGTCTCCATATGTTATGCGTCTTTAACAATGACTCTCAAAGTACAGCGCAGGGGCTCAGCCCCACCTAACTTGTTAGAAATTGCACATTCAGGGGCACCACCCTGGCCACAATGCATCAGAAACTCTGGGGTGCCCTAACCCACCCATATTTCAATGAGCCTTCCATGTGATGGTTAGGCATGCTAAAGTTTGAGGACCGCTGATTTAAAAAGACATAAGAATTTTGTTGCCATTAACAATTCAAAATCAAGCTATTCAGTTGTCATTTCAGTCATAATTTTCAGTTAAATAATAATTCCCATCTGTTGGTCATCTAGAAAGATTAGTTTGATATTAAACTCTTGGAAAATTTTATATTAAGTTATTTTTATTTTAAAATTAAG